GTAAGACGTTTAAATTTTTCTGGATTTTATCATTACAGTCATAAACCCAATCACAAAGAACTACTATGATATAATAGTCAATACACTATTTGACGCTAAAGTGAAACCTCCCTTTTTTGTTGATGGCAGGCATTTTGTTCTATTTCCCCCACTGGCGTCAGAAATGCCAGAATTGCTACTCTCTTATCTTTACACAGTGTGCACCTATGGCTAAGACACAGTGGTGCTGCAGCGCCATCCATGTCATACAACTACAAACTCGTTTATAGGGCGGGTTATATTCACACAAAAGAAAGGACATAGCCTGGTTGGCACTGGGCCTATGTCCAAGAGTTCGTGGGTTCGAACCCCCCAGCGCCAAGGTGACTGATACACATTAAATCTGTCGAGTCCAATCACAAAGAACTACTATGATATAATAGTCAATACACTATTTGACGCTAAAGTGAAACCTCCCTTTTTTGTTGATGGCAGGCATTTTGTTCTATTTCCCCCACTGGCGTCAGAAATGCCAGAATTGCTACTCTCTAATCCTTACACAGTGTGCACCTATGGCTAAGACACAGTGGTGCTGCAGCGCCATCCATGTCATACAACTACAAACTCGTTTATAGGGCGGGTTATATTCACACAAAAGAAAGGACATAGCCTGGTTGGCACTGGGCCTATGTCCAAGAGTTCGTGGGTTCGATCCCCCCAGCGCCAAGGTGACTGATACACATTAAATCTGTCGAGTCGCAAAGTCCTCCCTGTTCCCATAACAAATCAATACCTCTGGGGGTACTGATCCAGGAGTTTCCTGGTCCTCTGGATTGATTCAAAAATTACAAGGTTACGGAGTTGAGCAGCAGTTGACCAAAAATTGGCTAGGCTTTTCAAAGACGGATATAAAAAAAAAGGACAAAGAACACACACTGAGAGAAAGTTACATCCACGCCGACGGTGGAATTCGAACCCACAACCACTGGCCCCGTAGTCCAGTACTGTAACCATGGGTGCAAGTTGGAAAAAAGGCTAAGACTGAAAATGTTTTGACTGAAATACCTAACATACACAATGCCCCCTCAACATATGCAAACTATCTAAGAAAGCTTTATCATAATACATCAAGTTTAAATACTGTACAAAAAATATTTATTCATCTGTCTTTTGATAAAATAACAACAGGACATAAGAAAGTAGGCCAATAACGTAGACCTAAAAAATATTTTTAAGGACAGAATATATTTTTTTCTTCCAATTTCCGTCTTCGAATCAGTCTTGTTTCCGTCCGCGGACATTTTCAAAAGACGGAAGTCCTAGGGACGGAAGACTTGCACCCATGACTGTAACTACCAGACCAATGGTCAGCCTAAAGTGAAAGGTAGTGAACCATAATAATTGCAAAAAGCGTTGAGAGAAATAGTGAGAATTACTTTGATAGGGCTTTTGATAAAATAACAATAGCTGTTTCTCTGCTGGGAAATGATGAATGACCAGGAATGGAACGCACTTTCAATTCCAGATTTAACGAACCCTTCTCAGAAACAGATATCCTAAAAAAAATACATTTAATAAGAATCACAACATTTAAAAGAAAAATCTCTCACATCTGAGCTTATTTTAACTACTAGAACAAGCTTTTTAAGACAACAACAATCTTTGACAACAGATTTTATACAAAATATAATTTTTTAATTCCTTCATGGCACAATTAGCTTTAAATGCACATTATAAAGGATGTCCACTAACTAATGTCCTTAATATTAGTATTTAAAATTCTTATCAAAAATAGAGTTAAAAAATATACATAATAAAGGTTTTAAATTAATATTTAAGCGAATAAAAAAAAGGTTTAAGCACTATTGTATTCTAACAAATCAATACTATAAGGCAAGGCTAAAAGTATCAAAACCTGTTTGATTGCTAGAGCAAATATGGAGGTAATTTTAATAATCATCTTTCAAGTCATCTCGATTTCCTTCTGCAATTAAACAGAATTTTTTCACTCCCACCTTACCTATTAGAGATTAGTTAGATTTAAATATCATATTAGTTTCTTCCTAGCTCAAACATTAATTTCAGACCCCCAATGAGAATTCATTTTTTTGCCATAATTTTTAACAACTATTAAAAGAAAAGATGAAAGGTGTAACAAACATTAAATTTACTTTAGATAGTTATAATTTATACCCGAATAACAGATTAGTTGAATATTTCTCAATAAAATAAAGATTAAAAATAAGGTCAAAAAATAAATAATTTTGTATTGATTTCGTCCTTTAACTATTGCTATATTTTGTATTGATAATTGAATGCTCCTGACAAGCACATTACTTTCATTGAACACCTGTTTTTCCTTTTTAATTTTATTTTACAAGTAAAGTAAGTTGAATTAGTAAAAACTGAGAAAAGTAAAGTACGTTGAGAAAGTAAAGTAAGTTGAGAAAGTAAAAACTGAGTATCCAATCAATGACTTATAAGTACTCTAAAACTTTTAATCTGAATTACTAATATTATTTGTATTATTGAATATTGTTTTTGCTAAATTACTGTTTTTTAAAGGGGAATTAAATTTTTTACTTCTTAAGTATTTGGCTTAGATAGAAAATTTATTTGAAGATTATCAAACGATGAAATAGTTTAGCAAAAACTCTTATTTTTATATTTTGCAGAATTTCAGAAGGCCCTTTGTTCACAATTGAAACTTTTATTCTTCGTAATTTTCTTTTAAATAAACTCTATGGATCAAAATATATATTGTCACAATGTTTTTCCCTTTTAATTTAAAAAGTTTTCTTAAAGCATTTTCCACAGGTTACATTCAGGGTAAGCAAGGTTTAGGACAGAATAGATTAATCCGAGGTTTAAACCGTCCTGTCCAAAACCCTTTTACTCAAATTATGTCACAATTTTATCTGAACAATATTTAAAAGGTAAAATAAACATAGAACTAAAAACATAATGATAATTAAATCTACTAGAGAATATTTGTTTTTAAAAGTAGGTTTTAGTCATTGTTTTCGCTACAGTGCGAGAATCTCGCTTATTTTTTTCTTTTCTCGCATTAAAAAATTATTAACGCGAGAAGATCGCACACTCTATTAATCAATTTCAAAATGTGCGAATTTTGGAAAAAAAGTAGTCTTCTGCCATTTTGAATAAAATCCGTTTCACTTTTCTTCCTTGATGTTTCATTATTTTCAACATGGATCCCTGTTATCTAGCTTCCCTATTTACCAGTATTGTTCGGAACCGGTGCGAACAGCAGAACACAATGCCCCCCCCCCGAATGACGGAACATCTTTTAGAATACATTTTTCTGCAACCATATGTTCACGGAAGGTAAGATTTCTTCATGTAAGACGTTTAAATTTTTCTCAATGCTACAAATTTACTTAGTGATTCCGAATTGTCCAGCATATGTTGCAAGGTCATTTAGCACTCGAAACCGAATTAAGAAAAAATATCTTATACAAATGACTGATAAACATTTGAACAAACTAATGAGAAAAGCTGAAGAAAAAGTAGATATAAAACGTTTTCCATATGATGATGCAGCAAAAATATTCAATGCTTTAAAAATTAGAAGATGTTAAAAATGTATTATAATTAAAGAAATATTTTTTTTCCAAGTCTATTCGTGTTTTTTTAATTTTTAGAAAGTTTACACTGTTTTTGAGAAAGGGTGAGAAATTCTCTCTCATTTTTTTTTCTGTAATGAAAACACTTATTAATATTGTTTGACCCTTCAATTTACACATTAAACAAAGGAAGATTAATCAGTAATCAAGTTCAATTGGTCCTCTTAACATTCGACGGCACATAACTAACTTAGATGCTGTATTCACACCAAAACGGTTTCTAAGTTTTGAGAGAATTACTTCTAAATTCGAAAACATCCTTTCAATTAACGCTGAGCTTGCTGGGCATGAGAGTAGAAGAGTGAAGAATTTAAAAATGTCTTTGGAATATTCCTCAAATGATATTTACATTTAAAAACAATTTTTTTAAAAATAGATGTCTTTTTTATCATCCTATGATGCAGAAATTACAAAATTTTTTAAAGAAAATATTGTGAGAAATAGAAGGTTAATTTTTAAACAAATTTATTATTTTTTAAAAAAATTTATTACTATTTTTAATATTGCATTATTTATTCTCATGCTAAAACATAATTTATCAGCATTAAAAGCACATTTATATTTAAAGGATAAGGTATTCACTTTCGTTGTTCAATGAATTGTGGAGCTTCAAAATTTATTATATTACATTATTTTCCTTTAATAAGTTAAAGTAAATTGTATAAAAATATCAAATATTTATTGCAGTGTTTTCACTATAGCGCGAGAATCTCTCCTACTTTTTTCTTTTCTAGCAATAAAAAATTATTAATGCGAGAAGTTCGCGCACTCTATTAATCAATTTCAAAATGCACGAATTTTGGAAAAAATTTAGTCTTTTGCCATTTTGAATAAAATCCGTTTCACTTTTCTTCCTTGATCTTTTATAATTTTGAACATCAGTCCTTGTTTATCTAGCTTCCCTATTTATCAGTATTGTTCAGAACGGGTGCGAACAGCAGAACACCCCCCCCCCCCCGAACCACGGANCCTTTCAGAACACATTTCTCTGCAACCACGTGTTCAGCGTAGGTAAGGTTTCTTCATGTAAGACGTTTACATTTTTTGTGCATGAATGGACAAATACCTTGTTACGGCGACATCTTCTACTCCGTAACGGACAAATGAAAATGAAACGAATACGGATATTTTTCAGCCAAATAAATATAATAGCCGCTGAAAAAGTAGATATAGAGCATTTTCCATATGATGATGCAGCAAAAATATTCAATTAGAAGATGCGAAAAATGTATTATAATTAAAGAAATAAATTTTTTTCCAAATCTGCTCGTGTTTTTTTTAATTTTTAGAAATCTCACTTAATTTTTCGAAATCTCATCCTGTTTTTGAAAAAGGGTGAGAAATTCTCTCCCATTTTTTTTCTGTCATAAATACACTGTATTGATATATGTAATTATTATGTGTATAATGGTTACACCTATAGAATTTTTACCCTTTAACCAAGTTCAAGGTTTTGGACACTTTAGGATAGTTTTAGTCAGTTTAGGACAGCTTAAGACAGTAAATCCCACGTGTTCCCTCCAAAATCATTCTAGGACGTCCAAAATCCCAACCCTGGTTACATTATTATACTCCTCTTTTCAAGGGCATCAATTTTAATTACAAGTTGTGTATGGATTAAGAAACTCACAGAGCAACAGGTGATGTTATGCCGGGTACAAAATCATCCATAACGAAGGATCCTTCGTCCAGAAGGTATTCCAATTCCACATTCCTTGACTTCAGTAATTGACTGATGTATTGGGCTCCATCTAATCCACCACTCTGTTAAAATATCAAAACTTTATTTAATTAATGAAAATAATCATATAAATAATAATAATTAAATAATAACTTTATGAGAAGTAAAAGGTAAATAATGAATCACCGGTTTATTTGATAAAATTCAAAATGATTGTTTCGTCTTCGTTCCTTACTTTTTTTGTAAAATGGATAATTCATTAAAAGCAAAACTTTTTTCATTTCATCCAATAAATGATTTTTTTCTTCTTTTATTGAAATATTGTTTACAGATGCGCAACAAAAATGCACTACCTTTAGAACATTTTAGAATTATTAAAGTTATATCCGTTGTTGAACAGCGGACCCAATTTTGGGTTTACGACTACTAATGTTCAACCCCGTAGCCTTGTCATTTGGAACCAATCCAGAAGACAAGGAAACTTCTGGATCAATACTCCCAAAGGTATTGATTTTCTATGGGGACATAGAGGACTTTGTGACTCGACAGATTTAAAGTGCATCAGTCACAATTTACTACACGGGAAGTCCTCGTCCGGCCTGGGATCGAAGCCACGAACTCTTGGACATGAACCCAGTGCCCTTTTTTATAATTGTTGTTGAACAGCCGACCCCATCTTGGGTTTACGACTACTAATGGTCAACTCCGTAGCTTTGTCATTTTGAAACAATCCAGAAGACAAGGAAACTACTGGATAAGTACACCCAGAGGTATTGATTTGTTATGGAAACATAGAGGACTTTGTGACTCGTCAAAATTAACATGCATCAGTCACCATTTACTACACGAAGAGTCTTCGGTTGGCGAGGATCGAAACCAGGACCTCTTGGACATGGGCCCAGTGCCCTACCAATCGGGCTATGCTGTCCTCCAGTATTTCTCATTTATCATTACAGGTTTGCTATCCAAATCTGGAAAAAACATTCTTCGTGTTTCCCATGTACATGTTATACACAATATATTAAGAGGACACCATATGACGGAAGAAAATGTTTGTCACAAATTCTATTTCTTCTTCATTACTAATTTACAATTTAAAGGAAAGAAAAAGTAAGTTCAGACTAACCTAGAATAAGACACGAAGTTGCTGAAGAAAATACTGCAAACTATTAAAATGCAAACAAATCATTAAAAGAGAGCTTCACCGATGCGTCGTCCTAAGTTATCTCGTAATTAATTTTCATTTGAATGGAAGAAAGAGAATTTCAAAAAGGAAGTTGAATACAATCTGGATTCATAGTAGTAGCATATATATATATATATATATATATTTTAAATAAAACCACTTACCTCTTCATCATGTCCATAAGCTAAATAAAAAGACCTTTTTGGCTTGTAACCTTTCTCTAGTAAGAACTCAAGAGCTTCTAAAGTACCCTGTCAAAATAAATTTCATACATGAGTAGGGTTGCAAAAAACCCACCCTAAAGTGGGTTTTTCTAAGATTTATTTCTTTTTTATCCTCTGTTATATTAAAGAGCTATTCTACTGAAATATATATGTGGTCTAACCTTAAAAAATAAATGAAACTATGGTGACAAAACTAACTATGTTGGAGACTGGAGAGTCACCTTGCTGGCTAGATTTCACTGCATGGCTATTGATTAGTCAGTGCCTTTGATTCGCTTTCTATGCAAATAAAAAAAATTTCTTCAAATATTTTTTAAGACTAAAATATAAATAAAAAGTAATCCTGTGTTAAAATAAGTTTCAAATGTGTGATGTATGTGAGTACATATAACATTTTGTATCAATTTATTTGTATTAATTACCTTGTGTTAAGTCAATTTATAAAATTAAACTTAATTATTAATATTAAAATAGGCTTTTTAAAAATAAGGTACTTATCCCTGCCCTCTCTTTTGAAAAAAACTCNGAAACTTTTTTCAGACTTTTGCATCAATTTATTTGTATTAATTACCCTGTGTTAAGTCAATTTATAAAATTAAACTTAATTATTAATATTAAAATAGGCTTTTTAAAAATAAGGTACTTACCCCTGCCCTCTCTTTTGAAAAAAACTCCATTAAAACATGAAAAACCCACCCAAGTTGGATTTTTCTAGAAAAACTCAGGTTTTTTGCAACCCTGTACATAAGCAAAATCTAACCATTCCAGGGGTCTGCTTAGAAGAAATTTGGGTCCATTACCGGCCCTTCACAAAATATCTTTCCATAAAAACAGACCCTTCACAAAATAATTTATCTCTTAATCGGACCCTTCACAAATTTGTTTATCTTCATTATTGTTTTGTTAAGCAATAAACCCTTCCCAGGAAANGTTCCAGACAAACTAAGTTTCCCTAAGTTTAAATTCCAAATGTAGTATTGTAAGAAAATATTTCCATTTTTATAAACGTGTGCGCATTCTTATTAATATTAAATCATCATTTTTTTTGTTAATAAATAATTGATAAATTAAATATTTATTCATAAAATTAATAGAATATTATGTAAATAAAAATTAATGTCTGACAATTTTTTAAATAAAATATTATACATTTAAGAATTGTTTAACTTTACTTAATGCGTAACACATTAAAAGTGATACATTACTAAGTTGTGTTATTTAAAATGTGTCAATTGAAATGATTAAAAATAAGAGTGATTTCGTTTCCATTTGTTTTGTTTTTTAATCCTGTCCTTGGACAATTAAATGGCCTCGAATGCCTTCAAAACTGCATCCGCTAGCACCAATACATCATTACTGTAGAGGATCTTATGAAGTTCTGAAGCCAGTGGTACCATACCCAGTTGTAAAACAAATGGGGTAAGGGCTGAGCACTCGAGAATGTGAACCAGGGTAAGTTGGATAAATACCAAATATTTGTATGTTGCATCTCTAATTTAGTAGCAGCAAATGTTTAGCAGAATCTTGTATCTATTTAAAATATAAAAACTTCTTGAAAAGTTTTTTTTAGCAATAACAGGACCCTATTTGCACAAATTCACAAAAGCAAGAACTTGGTAGAAAGAATGTAACTTAACGCTTATTTTTATATTCACAAATTATTGTGTACCCTTTCTAAATTTTTCGTAACGCTGTGTACCACTAATAAAAAAATTAATGTATTTTTTCCTATTAAAATTTTTTACAAAAGTTAAAAATCGCAACTGGCTGTTGACATCACCAATTATTTACTGTTAACTCTGCAAAAAATAGCCAATAGAAAAATACGTAATCGTAAATTTTCACGGTTAGTTTTGTTTCTAAATAAAAAATTTTGAAATTTCCGATTGTTATCGCATAAAAACACGTACCCCCGCTAAACTATTCCCGTACCCCTGGGGGTACACGTACCACACTTTGGGAAACACTGGTCTATGGAACCTTAAAACTGGAGTCCCAACATTATATATAAAAAAAGTTGACTGGAGATTTACTAAACTAAAGTATTACCATAACTATATGTTTTGAGTCTATAGTGCCTCTACCCCATATGTAACCATCTTTAATAGTCCCTGAGAAAGGCTCTTCTTCCCAGTAAGATTCTTCTACTGGAACAACATCCATGTGACCGGTCAACAAGTAGGGTTTCAATTCAGCATCACTCCCCTTGATGTAATACAGAAGACTTAAATTATTGACCACCTCATAGGAAACAGAAGGAGAAGAATGCACCAAAGGAAAACCTAAAAGCAATAAAAATCAATTTAATCAGGATGCCCACAGTTTATATGAATAATTTTTTGTTTTAAAAATAATTCAATAGAGTAAAAATAGGCAACAGAAAATAAGCACCTTTTAAGCAATGTAGAAATGTGGGCAATATGCAAACAGAAAAAATTTGTATAAACAGTAGATAATTTAATTATTAAAAAGATTTTCTCTCTCTAAAAAAAAAAAGATATTATTTTGCTTTAACCAGATAATACTGAGCCACCTGTAACCAAACCCCTAAAAACTTTTTCCCTATTTAAGTTTAAAATCTCCAGTCCTTTGCTCTAAATATAAACAAAACTTTGTTAAGATATTTTTGCTTCCTCGTAAATACACAGAGCAAAGCTCGTTACACAACAAAATCAGTTGAATGCCTTTCCTTGCTTCGGAGATCACCTTACTTATAACAGGGTTCCCAAAAACTAGAGTTCACCAAAAGGGCCCACTTTGAAAAAACCCGCCCAGGTTTTATTGCGTGGGCCCACCTTCAAAACACCCACTTGGAACAATAAGTGGGTTTTTTCAAAATAAAAAAAAAAATTAAAAAAAATTTTTTATTTTTTGTTAAAACTTAGTTTTGCACACTTACTTTTATATAATTTATTGTGCAGCATAAATTTGTCAAACAGAGTTGCATGATTTATATGATTAAGCTTTTATTATTTGAAAAGCAAAAGAAACTCGAATCTTATAATTTTATAGTACTATTGAAAACTTCAAGTGTGTGTTTTCAAAAAGTAATATTTTAATGATATTAAATCAAATAGAAATTTAATTAATATAGTCTGAAAAGATCAATTTTTCAAATATAGTTGAATGCTTTATATAATATATATATCAGTTACTTAATAGTTATATAATTAATATGTTAACAAAAATTGAAAAGTAAAAATTTTTTTTTTACTAATTTTTTTTTTTTTTTAATTTAAACAGTTTTATTTTCTGGCTTTAAAAAAATAAGGTAAAACTTTTTATAAGAGAACTTTTTAAAATTATTTATCTAAAAATGAAATCATTTTTCTAGGGTTAATTATTTGAAAAAAATGGAACAAGTAACTGATAGTCTTTATAATTATACATAATTTTAATTTCACTGACTATTAATCTTATTATAAAAACATGGAAGATCATTAAATATTTATTTCAGTTTTTAATTAAAGTCAAAAGTCAGACAAAATTTTTGTTTTTACTGAATATAAATATTTACAGATTATAATTTTATAATAGGTAATATATATATGCTTAATAAATATAGTAAATACGTGTAAAAACAAAAATATTAATAAACTTGTTCCTTTTATACTACTGCATTTATATTTTATAATGCTTGAGTTAAAAATTGTGAAACGTTATATACTTAGCAGTGTTTTCATTACAGATAAAAAATGGTAGAGAATTTCTCACCCTTCTTCAAAAACAGGGTGAGATTTCAAAAAGTTAATTGAGATTTCTTAAAATTGAAAAAAACACGAATAGACTTGGAAAAAAATTATTTCTTTAATTATAATACATTTTTAACATCTTCTAATTGAATATTTTTGCAGCATCATCATATGTAAAATGTTCTATATCTACTTTTTCATCAGCTATTATATTTCCGTATTTGTTTCGTTTTGACCGTTTCTACCGACATTTGCTTCATTTTCATTTGTCCGTTACGGAGTAGAAGATGTCGCCCTAACAAGGTATTTGTCCATCTTACATTCATGCACAAGAAATGTAAACGTCTTACATGAAGAAACCTTACCTACGGTGAACACGTGGTTGCAGAGAAATGTGTTCTGAAAGGGGTTTGGGGGATGGTGTTCTGCTGTTTGCACCAGTTCTGAACAATACTGGTAAATAGGGAAGCTAGATATACAAGGAACGATGTTCAAAATAATGAAAGATCAAGGAAGAAAAGTGAAACGGATTTTATTCAAAATGGCAAAATACGAAATTTTTTCCAAAATTTGCGGATTTTGAAATTGATTAATAGAGTGCGCGAACTTTTCGCGTTAATCATTTTTTATAGCGAGAAAAGAAAAAAAATATGCGAGATACTCGCGTTCTCGCGCTGTAGTGAAAACACTGCTTAGTAATAAAGATTCAAATATGTCTTAATGCGTAATTTAAACTTAATATAAAATACACATAACAAAATTAAATTAACTTTTTGGATTTATTTCTATTTTTAAGTTTATACAACACTTTTTAATAAATAAAAATATTTACGAAGTAAAACTTAAAAGTTTATGAGCACTAAATGAAAAACCTAATTTCATCCGGGTTTTTTCAAATAAAACCCAATTTTCCCTGGGTTTTCTCAATAAAACCCAAGCGGGTTGGTTTTTTTTCTAAAATATCCGGGTTTTTTCAAACCCTGCCAAAAACACAGACATTTAATAAATAAAACCCAGCTCAGGGAAATTTTTTTCATAAAGAAAACCAATTTTGTTTGGGGATAAGTGATTTAATTGTGTTTTTTCAAGAAAAGACCAAATTTTGACTAAAAATATGTGAGTTTTTCTTTAAGTATATTTTACAAGCATACTTATATACTAAATATAAACATAAAATATATTATATGAAGAAAAAATATTGCTTGATTATTACCAAAGGAATTATTAAAAGAAATATTTATGAGAACTATTTGAGTCATTTTTATGCCTTCTAAATGTATAGTGAATTACATAATTATGAAGTTACTGTAGTGGCTCACTGTGAAACATAAAGCGTAAGTTATGTGATTACTATAAAATTATAAATAAAAAAATAATTTGTAATGAATGGAATTTTCAAACATTCTATTTTGAGCAATTTTATTCTGCTTCTATTTCTCTGGAATTTCAAGCATTATAAACATTCAAGAAATTAAATAATCTTAACCTTTTTTTTTTTTTTTTGCACATGTTATGTTCAGTTGCATTTTTTAATGTATGAATTCTTTATATGCCTAACAAAATATTATCAACTTTTATCTTTATTGTACGTTTTGTTTTTGAAATGAATGAAGAAAAAAAACCAAACGTTTGTTTTCTAAGCATATTGAAGAATATAATTTAACATTTTAATGAACATGCAGAAATGCTCATTACATTTAATTAATAATTAGGTGTGAATGAATTGATCATAAACAAACAACCAATATATACAATAATCATTATAATTTAATTGCATGTCATTAATAAATAATTACATATTCACAACATAAATTAATCTTTATTTTGTAATTAACAAATTTTTTATCAAATAAAATATTAGCAAACAAAAATTAAGATTCATAAATATTAAAAATACATCTACTCATTCAAATGTAAAAGACAAATTTAATAAATTAAAAAATTCAAATTCTCTTTTTATTTCTTATTATTGAAATATTTAATCATAGCAAAAACTATTTGATTCTAAAAAGGGTTCCCAAAAGTGGGTCCAATCTAAAAAAATCCAGAACTGGGCCCACCTTTGCAAACCCTGCTTATGAGTATAGTGATTTGGCTGAATAAGAACATTTTTTTTTTAAAAAAAAATCATAAACAAATATATTTTATATGTAAATAAGTTTAGTAATTATTGAAAATTAATCAACACTTTGCTATATTATTGGTATGGGGGAAAGAGAAAAAAACCTATATGTTATTCATTAAAAATATTTAAGACAAATAAGAAATTGACTAACAGCTATTAAAAAAAAAAAAAAATATGTCAATTTGAAAGAAAGAGAAATAGAAAAAAAATCCTTTTAATTCTTGGAAAAGAACTTTAATGCTAAAACATTTTCCAAATACATAAATATATATATATATAGTCTTATCAGAAAAGCTCTTAAAACTGCTGTGCTATCATAAAAATAAAACATTATATCCAAAAGTAAAACAGAAAAAACAAATATTGATCTCAATTCTTGCTGAACAAATAGCTGCTGTTCAGTTTTCCAATTATTGCATAAAAATATCAATAAAAATTTAAAAAGAAATAGTTAAATAGAAATCAAAATAAAAATTGTTCCTTAATTTTAAATAAAAAATTTAAAATCCTAATTTAAATTTTTCACCATGGCATATTTCTATAAAAAAAGTAATGTTAAAAGAATAACCTTCATTAAAAACCCTCTTTAAAAAATGCTCAGTCATAATAAAAATGCTCATAAAAAAAAAGTTTAAAGAAATCAAAAATTTTTTTTCTTCTTAGTCCTTAAATTATAAGTTTAACATTGAAAATCAAAGTTTTCTACTTTACTGGTTATGGCTTACTCTACAAGAAATAAGTGAAAATAAAAGAATAAAGTAGGGATTATATTCGGCCAAATATTCTAAGTATTTTTGTCTAGAAAAGTAAATTTCGGTAAAGTTTTTTTTTTTGTAATTTAAATAGATTTTTAAAAAATAATTTAAAATCGTAATTTTTACAACACATTGACTTGCTTGAATATAATTAGAAATACAGAACTCTTTGCTCAGTATAAAGTAATCCAGTCTTAATTCTTTAAATTTCGCTTTTCCATTTATCGCGCAGAACATAAATGTGTAACTAGTGCTCCAGTTTTAGAACTTAACAAATTTGTATAAAAACTATTTTTAATATTGTATAGTAAAAAATAAGACGTTAGATTATTCTTAACTACAGCTGCAAAAATTCTAAAAAACTGTTTAAAAATACTTTGCCAAATATTCGGTCAANTCTCTAATTTAGAAGCAGCAATTGTTATTTAGTTTTTAAAATTTAATTTTTTTAATTATAATTTTACAGTGTCGAGCATAATCTTGTATGTCTTTACAATTTAAAAACTCCTTGAAAAATTTTTTTTGCAATAACGGACCCTATTTGCACAAATTCATAAAAGCGGACCCTGGTTGAAAGAATGTGAGTAATTTTTTCATAATTTCGTGAAAAACGGACCTTTCACAGAATGTCTGGACAGACCCCTGGAAAGGGATCAACTCGAAATGTATACGGGAAAGTGCAAGCTTGAAACTAGCAGCTTTTTCACACCTCAATGAAATAGATGTCCCTCAACAACAAATTGAAAGAAATGTTATATTCCACAAGAGCAAATTGTTAAGATAAGGCATTCTACATTCTAATTTCTCATAAATCTATCACTCCTTATCTCCCCTTCTGCTGACCAGATGAGTGGTCCTCTCGCCGTTCAAAGTTCAAGCCCCCATCTTCTAGCTTCCACCACGTATAAAGGGGCGACCACAAACGATTTGTAGCTTACAAATTATCGATTTGTTTTTGTGGGATATATATTTCATTGAGGGACAAAAAAGCTGCTTGCACTCTCCCTAACTCGTAGCCACTCTCGGGCAAACATCTACGTGTTTTTTTTAAATTTCAAGTTTAAAATCTATTTGTCGCCTTGGCGATTGTAGTTGGTGTGACAGATCACGATATGGAAATATCCCCCTTGTCTATCTAAAAAATGTGAAACTGCACCCGAGGAGATTTCCTTATCCTGATCTGTGGCAGAATAAATGCCAAGTCTTGGAAGATTCCGGGGAGTGGCCCTCGTTTAAAAAAAAAAACATCACAGAAAGCAATTCTTGGTGATTATAGTTGGCGAGATTATATTAGACTCATAGAAAAAAAAGAATAGGTATTTTAAGGTTGCACGATTTATCTTCTCCGCTGTCATGATTTTGAAAAATCTTTAAATTTTCTTCGCCGTAATACCTTTCGGTAAGACAATGGAATACACTGGAGATCACGATACGGAAATATCCCCGGATGACTCTCCACACTATTCCTCTCCCCGTTACCATGGTTTCAGCTGATCTTGTTTTTTCTCCATGCCAGTGTATTCCATTGTCTTACCGAAAGGTATTACAGCAGAGAAAATCCAAAGATTTTCCAAAATCATGATGGCGGGGAAGATAAATCGTGCAACCTTAAAATACCTATTCTTTTTTTCTAAGAGTCTAATGCCTAATACTAAATTCTAATTTCAGACATGATTGTTGAAAGAACAGAGAGAGCGGTTTCTCAGGTATCCGAGCACGAAGTCATTGCAAAGTTCATTATGGAAGCAAAAACTATTCGGACCCTCTCGCGCATGTCTTGCCTTGAAAACTTAGCAGAAAGTATCAAAAAAATGTGCCCCGATCTTAATGATGTGTTGCAGATGTTATTGGCTCATTTAGAGGTAAGTTTCTTTTTTTTAATAAATAAGAGGTAAGTTTCTTTTTTTTAAATAAATTACAGATCATTTCATGTTATGATTATAAATGTAGGTGGGTTCAATATCTAGTCGGTATCCCATCCTATTGGTACCTATTTAAATGTGGGTATTTATGGGCTTAAACCCTATAAATTTTCTTCAATTAAATTATGTATTTAATTACACTATGTATTTAATAAATGTATTTAATTACACTTTCATTCTGTGAGCATGTTTTTTGTTGTTGTTGTTAGAATTTTTATTTTCAACTCAGCATCCCTGTAGCAGAATTTTTCGAGCTATCTGCGACTAATCTCTCTAGCACAAATATCTTTCTACAAGATACTTTTATTTATAACAAACATGTATGTTACTAATTGAAAGTAACAAATATGCTGTGTTTACAAAAAATACTATATAACTTTTTTAAATTGAAGAAGTAATAATTTTAATTTTTTTTAATTCTCACATTTTGTTGGGAGAAAAACCCACAAATTATTTGTGAGCTTTACCAATTTATAAAATTTTGTAAAAAAAAATCACAATAAAAAAAGTAATTAAAAATCATGAAATCCATGGTTGTAATAGTTGAAAAAAAAGATTGATGGCTGTGAGTTATTATTTACAGGGTACCTGATTATTTACATGGTATCTGCGCACCTGGAAAGTCATGAGATGAAGTGATTTTAACAATTTAAAAAAAAAAAAAGGAAAAAAATGGATTTAAGGTTATTGAAAAATCTAATTTTTAAAATGGATTTCCCCCCCCCTTCCCACCAATTTCATGGTGTTCCTAATATCTGAATTTGTAACAAAATCCCCACTCACAGTGATATTTTATTAATATATAAAATGTTTTTGTCATGTTCTTTAAAAATTATGGTGTTCTTTCAAAAAATGAAGGAAAGAACATCATTTCTAGAGGATGTTCTTTTGAACTTCTATGATTTCAGAATATTTTTTATTTATTTTTTATTTTGATTTTATCAATTTAAAATTCTAGTTGAAGCAAGCCATTCATTGGTGAATTTTTCTTATTCTGAAATGAGAACAGAAGAATTACTAGTAATTCTTTCCTTTGGGATTAACAGGAAAAGTATCTTTAGAATATAATTCTGCAGAAAAAAAGAAAGAAAAAATATTTTGCTTTTGTATTTTTTTCCAGCTATTTCATAGCTTCAACTCTTTCTTTACTCTATTTTTTAAATTTAAAATGAAATCTATAAATATGAGGATGCAAGGGTGCCTGCAGAATAATATAAAAGGGGGTGCAACCCTCAAACGAACTAACTCCCCCCCCCACCGCAAAAAATTTTGTTGTTTTTTTTTTCCAAATATTCTGTTATTTCATTTTGTTTTGTTATTACATATACTTTCATTCCTTAATTTTTTTTTGTCCGTTTTAATAGAGAAAATTCTTATGAATCCCTCGAATTCTTATGAATACATCGATTTAGTTTTTCAGGCCACGCCATTTTATCCAGTTGTAGAAATTACAATCAAAATTGGCCTAACTCTTCCAGCTTCTACATGCACTATTGAATGCACTTTTAGTACATTGCGACACATCAAAACATGGAATCGGTCTACAATGTCTCACGATAGATTGAGTAGTTTGTGCATGCTCAGTGTGCATAAGAAAAGAATCAAAGATGACTCAGAATTCATTGAAAAAGTTATACACACACTTGGACAGCTAACAAGACGATTACAATTCTTGTTTGACTAAACAGTTTTTTAATTGTTATGTATCAATAATTACTTAATTATTTGCTTTTGAATAAAAATATTTTTGATAAAATTTTTTTATAACAAAATTGTTTTTCTGTATCTCTTTAATTGTTTTAAAAATAAGCCAGGGGAGTGCAAGTGCACCCCCTTGCACTCGCTGCCGACGCCCTTGTGAGGATGCAGAGTATAACAGTTTTGGTTACCTATCATTTCAATGAATGTTATTATAATGCTTTTTTTTAAATTTATTGTTGTATTTTTGTCAGGAGAAATTAGTAACTTCATTAGGTCATGGATTTGAAAATGTAGCAGATACCTAACAAGAGATGCAATAATTTATTTTCTTTATATTTAGTGTTTTCTTGAAGCTCTGGAGAGTAATGAAAATAGTGAAAACAGAGAAATGCTAGAATCTAGAATGTCTCTGGCTATCTATGAATTTTCTTCAAAAGCTTGTAAAATTCTACCTGATCCACTTTTGCTCAAGGTAAGTCTTTTTTTACAAAATTCTTGATGGTCCCATTAAAACATTTTGATGGTTTCAGTGCGATTCATGATGGTCCAACATCATTTGATGATCACCATTATCCAACATTTTCCATTATGTGCTCATGAGTTTTGATATGCCATCAAACTTCCATCATTCCATATTCAATGATCGAAAATGCTTCTTACTATCAGGGGTCTGTCTGGGATAAATTTACTACCGTTTAGCAGTACCTTCACAAATGTAACTTTATGAAAAACAAAATACTTTTAAAAAACAAGTTCTCATGCAAATCCCGTTCTAGTTGCATTTGTTGCAATCTGTGAAAAAGAGGAGCTTTTTTGCCAGGTGTCTTTTACGAAAAGGTAGCACATGTTTGGTCAGATGCTGGAATATGGTAAACCTAACCGTCGCTCACGCCATATCAAAGCGAGCTTTTTTATTAGCTGAGTTTTTTAAATTGAAACAACGTGCGTCTCCCTTTGTAAACTTTACAAAATTCGAACATTATTCTAAACATTTGAACATTATATTAAACACTATTGTAAATTTATTCTAACAGACCTTTATTTTTTATGAACCACTTTTTTCTCTGTGAAACTTTTTTCTGTATGACCTAGTCGAAAATGCTCTCTTAATGAAAATAACTTTTAGTGCTAGTACTGTTAAATGTATGTTTTTATTAAATTCAAGTTGAAATTTAACTATGGACCATAATTTTTTATGGAATTTTAAAATTGGATGCAATTTTAAGCCCACAAGCAAAATTATATTTTTTATGTGGGGAAAAATATACAGAAATTTACTTGTCATAAATGATTTTTATTTGAAGTGAGGATTTTTGAAAGTATTTTCATACAGTATTTTTGTGTTGATTTTTTAATGTAATTTTTAATTTTCACAAATTATGTCTAAATTTTTACGAAATAGGCATTTCTCAAACGAACCCAGACCGCCCCCTGATTATACTATGATGGTTTACCTCTAAGAGAAGTATGATTCTCATGAACCAACAGTCCATGATGGTTCCAACTATACATTTCCACGATGGCATAATGGCAATTCTTGTTGATTCTCAGGAATATACAATCAAAAATATTTGTGTTTTTACGTTGGGCCATCATAAATCAGACTGAATTCCTACATTGAGGCGATGGTGGTTCATAATCGTTCCACCATTTGATGGAATCTATGATGGAAATTTCTGGTGATTCAACATAAATAAACCATCAGAACAAGTTGCTATTCTTGTGTTGGACCATCATAAATCAGTCCCAATTCCTACATTACGGTCGTGGTTACCGTAAAAAAATCTAAGGGTTTATGAAGGAATTATTAATGGTATATTGATCCATCAATGGAAAACCATCAAAAATTTTGACTTTGGTATTATAAAAATGGTACTTGTCAGTTAAGTTGGTGACAGTTTTTTTTTTAAAAATTGTTGTCTATATACGTCCTGTAACCTTGTTAAGAATGAATTAATATGACAATGTATCTTCAAACAATATTGATATTTAAAAAAAAAAATGCAATATTTTTACACTATAGTTTATTTATGTTACTTTTTACATTGATCAATATTTTTGACACCCAAGTAAAATGTATCATTTTGCAATAATATTGAATTCAGTATTGTTGATTTGTATCCTATTATTCACAATATTATATTTCTGATACGTTATGTCTAGGACTGGGCGATATAAGAAATTTTATATTGTGATGCATCATCAGTTTTGCATCACGATATAGCGATGTATCGCGATATAGTATTTTTGAATTTCATTTACTTGTAAGGCACAGAAAGTCGGATTTCTATCAAAACTTCATACTCAGATTGATTTAAATCAATTTATGAATTTGAAGATACATATGTTTTNAATGTTATATTTTCTAAAAATCATCGCGCAAATAACGAAAGATTTCTTAGTTTAAAAATAAATAATAAAAAAATAAATAAAATTGAAATTTATCAATATATTTACCTAACAATATAGAAAGAAAATTTAAAAAAAATAAGTTCGTTAAAAATTATTTATTTGTTTAAAACAAAGCGCTAAATAAATTTAAAAAAAACGCTTTTAAAGCAACACTATTTTTCACTCGTCGTCTTTTGTCTGCAGCTTAAATTAGATTTCTGATGCATCGCCTGACACGAAAATTGCTGTATCGGCTTGCTGATATATGCGTTAAATCGATATGTCGCGATACATCGATTTATAGCCCATTCCTAGTTGTGACTTTAATGGTGGTGATATGATCGTGTTGTTATCGTAAATAATCGCCATTTTTAATGCATGTGTGTGTATCAAGCATGTAGTATCAGTGGCCTCTGTAAACCAGAATCTAGCGTTGTTTGACTATAGTAGTTATTAGTATACTATAACTTTTTTTTATTTTATGAACAAAAAGTAGGGTTGCCACTCCACAATAAAAATCGCCTAAAATAACAGGGAAAAGGCAAGGAATTTTTAGTTTTTCCTTACAAAGTTGGAAAATGAAGGGAATTTTGCTTTTGATTTTTGTCTTTTAAAAAATGGTGACTAGAAAAGGGATCAGGGTGGTAAAAAAGGGATCTTTTTAGAAGATACGGACCCTTCAGAAAATATCTTTTCATAAAAACGGACCCTTCACAAAATATTTTAACTCGAAAGTGGACCGTTCACAAAATAATTTATCTTTTAATCAAATACTTCACAAATTTGTTTATCTTCATTATTGTTTTGTGACTCGAATAAACCTTTCCCAGGAAGGAGGGAAAGGCAGACAGATGTAAACGAACTAAGTTTTGTCTTCGGCAGACGCTTCTTCCTTGATTCGTCCGAAATTAATATTCTGCGTTCAGCAGTATAAGCTAAATACCAAATATTTGTATTTTGCATCTCTAATTTAGTAGCAGCAATTGGTGTTATTTTTTAAAATTTAATTTTTTTAATTATGATTTTGCAGTATTGTTGTATGTTTTTACAATTTAAGAACTCCTTGAAAAAGTTTTTTGCAATAACAGGACCCTATTGGCACAAATTCACAAAAGCAGGACCCTGGCTGAAAGAATGTGACTTAACGTTTATATTATATTCACAAATTTACGAGTAATTTTTTCACAATTTTACAAAAACGGACCTTTCACAAAATGTCTGGACAGACCCATGATTTACTATAACATTATTTAATTATGCTCAGCTGTTTTTTCAGCAATTAAAACTAATAAATTATAGTTAGCCCAATATAGCTGAGTCAAGAGCACAGTAGTTATTGTGTTTCCTCTTAATTTATTGTGTATAATATGTAAAGGGAAAATACAAGGGATTTTTTTTTTCCAGACTTGAGTGGCAATTCGGAAAAAAAAAATCCTAAAATTACTATTGCTAATCAAGTTAATTTTTCTTTTGACAGTGGCAGATGTGTCAATTAATGCTGGTATATGCAGTAAGTCCAGGGGTGTGTCCAGACATTTTGTGAAAGGTCCGTTTTTTTAAATTGTGAAAAAAATTACTCATAATTTGTGAATATAAAATAATCTGTCCGCTTTTGTGAATTTGTGCAAATAGGGTCCGTTATTGCAAAAAAAGCTTCTTCAAGGAGTTTTTAAATTGTAAAGACATACAAGATTGTGCTCAACACTGTAAAATTATAATTAAAAAAATTAAATTTTAAAAAATAAACAGCAATTGCAGCTACTGAATTAGCGATGCAACATATAAATATTTGGTATTTAGTCTATACTGCTGAATGCAGAATATTCATTTCGGACGTATAAAGCGTCTGCCGAAGACAAAATTTAGCTCGTTTGCATCTGTGTTTTATTCCCCCATTCCCTGGGAAGGAATTATTTGATTAACAAAACAATAATGAAGGTAAAAAAACTTGTGAAGGGTCCGATTAAAAGATAAAATTATTTTGTGAAGGGTCCGTTTTTAAGTTAAATATTTTGTGAAGGGTCTGTTTTTATGAAAAGATATTTTGTGAAGGCTCCGTAAACGGACCCAAATTTCTTCAAAACAGACCCCTGAAGTCTTAGCATGAATAATGATTTCCTTGGTAATTGGAACTTTTTAATTCAGAAGCTATTTTTTTCAGATTCTTAAAGACTGGCAACTTAAAAAAAGCAAAGGATTGTATCCAAAGGATCCAGTTTTATATAGAAAAGTGTTGACGTGTCTCCAGGAAGAGTGAGTAATCATTTATGAGTTCATATTCTAACTAAACTCAGTGGCGCGACAGCCCATAGAGCATAGCTGCCAAATGTCCAAAATTTTTCGGATTTGTTCCTAATTTTTAAATCAAATCTGAAAATCTGATATCTTTATTAAAAAAATCCGAATTTTCTTAAAATTGCAGTATTTTTGCTTTTAAACCAATCCTTTGTTCTGAGCGCCACAATCGCGCTTCCTGTGATTATTGTGTAGAAGTAATTTTTAGTAGCTTTATATTGGAAAATACTATACCGATAACTGTTGCTGATCATTTCACTAAATTGAATCTAAGACAACTATTATTATTTTTTTTAAAAAATGTTTTGTAGTATTTAAACATTTGCATCAGAAATATTTGTTTGAGATGTAGTTTAATGTTTACCTGTGTTTTATAATTTTGAGAAGAATAATTATATATTAATAGTTAATGGTTGTTTTTTTAACTATTATATTGGCATTCCTAAATATAAAATATTAGTATTATAAATTTCCTGCAAAAGATAGTGATTATAGTTTTATGTTGCTAATTTACATATGGTATTTAAATATGTTTCTCTTAATGTTATTATTTAATAGTTAAACCTTTGTCTTACTCTCGTAATTCAGGCTTATAATTTTGTCGCATATAGTGTTCCTAATTTTTAATTCCTATGGTTGGCAACTATGCATAGAGGGCCAAGGCCTACTGGGCGAACCACCTAACCGGAATTAGGTGGTCAGGTGAATGCGAAACCCCCAATGCTTAGTTCCCAAGCATGCTTGGTACTCATTTATCGACTCACTGAAGGGGTGAGGGGCTAAGTCAACCTTGCCTGGCCCGAGGATCGAATCCAGGATCCGTGACACGGGATCGTGAAGCACTACCACTCAGCCACCGGGCATCTCATATTCTTTTTCAAGATTGGTAAAACCATGGTACGTTGCGTTTTAAAAAAGTGCTTATTTTCGTTTTTTAAAATTTGTGGTGCTTTTAAAGGTGCATTTTTTTTCTTCTCCGTGTCGATTTTCGCCACGTATTATGCAAAAGCACGGTTTTCACATTGTTCTATTCAATGTTTTCACAAATCATTCAAGCACAATGCATTTTGGCGTAATGTCGTTCAGTAGCTTATGAAAGCGCTAAGATATTCTCTGAAGCAATAAACCCCTGTAAAACTATTTTTTTCCTTTAAATTTCAACCTTATTTTCTCCATTTATTATTGGTTTTTATAAAATGTAAAAAATCTTATTTTATCATATTTTGCCTTTTTTTCCTGTCTTTTCTGACTAGACTTATCTTATTTCTTTTCACCACTGTGAAAGGCTTTTGTATTTAGATTTGAATACCCCATCCCTGATGTACATAGACCACCCCAAGACTTTCTATTCTTGGAATTGCCTTCCTTATCTCTTAAGAAGTCACAGATGTAACATTCCTATCTGATTTCATATTTAAACATAATTACCACTCTGCAAATTATATTTTTATATATATTTCTCTTACACGGCGACAATAAAAAGCCTCATTACAACTCCCCGAATGACAATACTAGAAAATCGACCCATGATTGCCGCTAAAAATGTCACATGCCAAATCTAGCTGAGATGGCTTAACATATAGCGTTTTTAAAAACAGAAACTGAGATAACCAGATAGAGCATAAGCTAGGCAGAAGTGATTAGTCTTTGTCGATAGATCTCTATTTTAGTATTTTGTCGAAAGCGCTTTTTTTCACGAATTTATATATTATGAATTTATTTGACGATTTTTGATTTATATCACGAATTTATTTGTTTTACTAGAATTTATTTGTTTATGCAGGTTTTTCCATTGCAATTCACTTATTTCAATTTTTAATAGACTTAATTATAGCCAAAATTTTAACCTTTTTAAAGAGATATCAGTTTTAGAAATTTTATCTTAAGATTTTATACTATAGCACATTTCTAATAGGTTTAACGAATTACATGTCATTTATTTGAATTCAAATTTATTTTAATGACTTAGTATTTACTAAAAAGATGTAATTTTTTTTTAAAAAAAAGTTTTTATATGGATTTGAATGATTGTTTTGAATTCTTAGAATTTTGTGCATTTGCAATGTACCTAAGTTAGTAGCGAACGAAGCGAGCTTGGTTTGCGAAGATTGCGTAGATATAAGATTGCGTAGCAATTTTCGGGGGTTGGTGAGTGTTAGCTAGCAGGGGGCGCAACCCACTAGTTTTTATAAAATACATTAAACGATTTATAATTCATACATATACAGTGTAACGTCCCATATCCGTACGTCCATTTTCCAGAAGGGTCGACTTCCAAACATTTCTTCATCTTCCCCTCTCTCTCTAAAAAGAAAAGAAAGATAGAAAAAGAGGTCTTTTGACACCTTCTTTCCTTTCCTAGCTTCTAGTGATTTATGCATTGAACCCATAAATCAACAGAAAAGGGAACAGAAGATCTACCAAGACCGTACTGTTAGTGACGCTCCTCCTCTGGAATGCAGGAAAGGGGGGGAGATTTATTTTCAAAAGAGCACAACTGAGTCCCCTCCCCCTCTTCTTTCCTATGCAGATGGCTGGTAAAAGAGGCATTTCCTGGAACCTTTTTATTGAAAGAAGAAATGCTGTGAAAAAGGGTAAACACAGCAAATATTAAAGTGGAGTCGGAAGAGCCAATCAGCATGCCACGCCTTTATGCTTGATTGATATCCAATGATGGGAGAGAAAATAAGAACTTGAATGACAAGTAAGGAGGAAATGAATTTTTTATTCTCCACCTAACCACCTTAATGAATGACAGGAATTTCCCCTTCTTGCTTGAATCATTCTATTTCAGAATGTTGGAGAGAGCAATTAATATTTTCGTAACTGTCAAAAAAATGTTTTGTTTCGATATTTATTTTTATAATAGCAGTAATTATTTTTTTCTAATATTTTGTTTTTGATTGATTAGATATCATTCTAATACTAAAACAGTATTGCCCGAAAAATAATGTTTATTTATTTTTTGCTTCTTAAATTCAGATCGTTTTAAGCTTTGTTTACCTTGGGGGTCTATTATGCGGAAAAATCTAATATCCGGACTTTTGGAAGTCCCGCCGATTCCGGATACGCGACTTTCCACTGTATAACATTAAAATTTATAACATATATAACATTAAAATATTGTAGCGAGATTTCACTGTATTTATTGATATATATTGTCTAAAGTAAGAACTCCCCATGTCATTCGTCTGAACCCGTGGTGTTGGCTATGGTAGCAAGGTATAGCTATTTCAAGTAGGGGTGTGGGGTCACTGTTTAGGGCGGATATAGGGCTGGGTCAGTGAGAGAAGGGGAGTATTTTTCTTTGGTCAATTGTGTTAGCCCCAGAGTGAGTGAACAGAAGCTACCCTCCCTGATATGCGCTATTCTTGTTTCCATAGTCGCCTCAGATTTTGGTGAAGGGAGTTCTTACCATAGACAAACTGTAGATATTCAGTGATTTAAGCTTATCTTATAATGTATTGTTTGTCCAAAGAGTGAAGTCCTTTGAAGTGACTGTGATTGCTAATGCATTGTATGATGATGAACCATTTAAAAGAGTGTTATGTTCTGGGGTAAGTACCTTACAATTGTTTTAAAAAGTTATGAAACGGTTGTTTTTACAAAATAACCTGTAGTATAGTATACTTTGTAGTATACTATACTTATAGTATACTTTTTCGTAGTATACTTTGATTCAAAAAAAGGAGTGTGTCATTTATATTGCAAATTAAATATGTGAGTTTTAGTAGTGAATGCAGAGTGCATAGCGTTTTTTAAAAGTGCTTAAAGGTGCTAATTTTTGAATTGCATTTCTTAAAAGCCTTTAAAGGTGGTTTTTCTATTCCGGATTTGTAAAAAGTGCTTAATTTTCTATTTGTGAAAAATAGATTTTTTCTTTGCGGTGTCAATTGTCGTCATAAATTACAAAAAAGCATGATTTCAATATTTATCAGAAACTAGTTATTTTATCATGATTATGAAAATGTTTTGAATTTTATTGATTTTACGTTTATNTAGCAATATGAGAATAGCCAAATGTAAATAAGTTAAATTTAAAAAAGTATCAGCAAATTAAAAGTTTTTTTTTCTTTGTATATTCTCCTAAACTATTTTCATTTTATTTATTTTAGTTTTATACGGAGTTTTAAAATCTATATATCATATTTAAGAGTCTGTTTGTGTGTTCGTACCTGTAGTATAGTATACTTTGTAGTATACTATACTTATAGTATACTATACTTATAGTATACTATACTTATAGTATACTTTTTCGTAGTATACTTTGATTCAAAAAAAGGAGTGTGTCATTTATATTGCAAATTAAATATGTGAGTTTTAGTAGTGAATGCAGAGTGCATAGCATTTTTTAAAGGTGCTAATTTTTGAATTGCATTTTTTAAAAGCCTTTAAAGGTGGTTTTTCTAGATTTTTTCTTTGCGGTGTCAATTGTCATCATAAATTACAAAAAAGCATGATTTCAATATTTATCAGAAACTAGTTATTTTATCATGATTATGTAAAGTTTTTGAAAATGTTTTAGAATTATATAAATTTTATGTTTATGAATTAAGAACTTTAAACAATAGAAAAAGATAATTTTTTTTTACTGCACAGATCCTTATTATGATTTTCTTTGGAAAGTGATTAGAAATATTTTTTGAGTGCTTGAAAAGTACTTAAAAGGTACTTATTTTTTGTTGAAAAATCTGGCTACGCACCCTGGTATATGTTTAGTAATTGATTTAATTTGATTATTAAAATTAAAAGTTTTCTTTCTTCAAATTTCCTAAAAAAAACTATTTTTGTATTATTTATTTCAGTTTTATACAGAATTTTAAAATCTATATATCATATTTAAGAGTCTCTTTATGTGTTCGTACTTTACAGTTACTTTGATTCTCAGAAATGAGTGTGTCATTTATATTGAAAATTCTATATGTAATTTGTAATAGTGTAAATGTTTATTATTTGATTTAATTTAATTAATTAATTAAGTAGCATTAATAAAATTTGATTATGTAATAATATTTTGCTGTACTCATTTATGTTAAATATTATATGTAATATAGTAATTCTTAATTCTTACAGATTTCATTAAATTTTCTTTTTCTTTTCAATTGTTCCTAACCTTTGTTCTCCAGTATTTAAAGACTATGTATTAGATAGCTTGGAAATTAATGCAATTATTTTATCTAGGTTGTGTATATAAAGTATTTAAAAAGTTTATTTAATTTTTCTTTATGAAAAAGCATTTATTTTACTTGCATTGGAAATTCAATTTTTACAGGAGATATTTTTTTTTTTTTAATTAAAAGTATTTCTTGCATTTCTGCTAGTACTGCTAAATACATCTGAAAGTTTAACAATAGTTAAAAGTCATTTATTTAATCAAATTTGTTAAAACTACCATGAAAATATTTGGCTACCTGAATGACTTGGCACAGATAGTTGAGAATTAAATTTGTAACCAAATATTCATTGTCTAATAAATGATAAATGTATACATTGTGCTACAGGAAGCAATGTAAATGAAGGATCAGAAATGGGGGTACTATAGTTTTGGTTTAAGGTTCTTTTCAGCAATTAAGATGAACTCAAATCACACTTGATCTTTGCTGTTAAGGACTAGATGTTTTATGAAGTTATGCAAGATCATCAAACAAAATGAAAGATATTTGTCTGATTAAAATTCAGTCGCTTTCTTTTTTGTTGTATAGGGAAAAAATTGAGTTTCATTTCACTCGAAATTATTTTCTTGCCGAACTTAATAGCATGTATTACCATAATGTGTAGTATTTTTAAAAAGTGCTTAAAGATGCTTATTTTCGATTTTCGTTTTTTTAAAAGTCCTTAAAAGGTGCTTTTTTCATTTGGTGTTTTTAGAAAGTGCTTCATTTTCTCTTTTCGAAAATGAGATTTTTTTTTACGGTGTCCATTTTTGCAATGTAATGTGCAAAAGCCTGCTTTTCACATTGTTCTATTCAACATTTTCACAATTCATTCAACCACCATCTATTTCGGAGTACCGTTGCTCCGAAGCGTGTGAAAGTGCCACTCATTTTACATGTTTGATGAAATACTTGCGAGTCTGCATGTGCGTCTAAATGAGCTGGGTTTAGTAAGATTATTGCACTCTCATGCGTAACTCTGCTTCATTTTCCAAGATATTCTCCATTTCAGGCTTCATTTTTCACCCTCTGATATCAAACCAAAAAATTTCTTGATCATTTTTTAATGGCTAATGTAATCAAGAAACGAGTTCTTTGTCAGAAACAAGTTATTTTATCATGATCATGTAAAGTCTTATTTTGCATTTTGTTAATGTATATAGTGCTTAAAAAGTACTTTAAAGGTGCTTATTTTTTATTCAAAGATCTGGCTGCACACCTTGATTACTAATTTGTAATTTTTTTTTTTTTTAGTTGGATTCGCAAGATTTTTCTATTATTTCCTCCCAACCCCTCGAGAACTCCTGTCCCAACTCACTACAACTCTCTGAAAACATTCAAATGTCATCACCACACATCAGGTCTCAATACCTCAGCAACTCCCTGTCCTTCGAGCCATCCAACAAACTTTCAGACTCTCAACAGTCTCTGTTACCGCCCTGCATTCCGCTACACATGTCCAGTCCTCACAAACTGGCCGACAAAATAGACAGGCTCAAACCGCTCACTCGAGTGGAAGCACTCTTGTTTGAAAATCCTAATCCGCCCCCCCTATTCCAGCCACCGAAAAGTCCGTTAGAAGAAAGTAGGCATCGGACGGGTTCCTTTTCCTCCCTCGTGACTTCTGATCATCCGCTCATCATAAACGTTCGGCCGTTTATGGACAGAGAAGAATCGGCAGACGACAGCGATTCGTGTTACCCTACCCAGAGACCGATGAAGATTGTCAAATCCGCAAGAAACAAAGTCTTCAGAATGAATGAATCTTCTGATGAGGAAGACACGAGTGATTGCGATAAGGATCCAGAAATCAGACTGCTGACTCCAACATTGTTCAAAAAAGTATGAATTGCTATTTTAATATCTGTTAATGATGCTTTATTTTTTGTACATTATAATTATCTTATAATGCAGGGGTTTCCTACTTACGTGAGGCCGGGTGTTGCAATTAAAAACACCAATCAAATGGTTGGCCGCAACTTTATCAAAATTTTATATAGGACACTTTTATGTTTGAAGGAACGTTAAATATTACTGTCAGATTTTTGCCAAGTATTGTCAGATATTTAACAAAAGTATTGAATTACAAACTGAAATAAGAAGTAGATTTTAAAAAAATATTTAATTGCATATTAAAAAATTCTGGCTACAATAACTTTAATGTGCACTTATGTATTAAACTATTAATGTGCAACAGATATCAAATTGTTAAGATATAAAACTTAAAAGTATTTAAAGCCCATATAGATTTTCTATGAAAATTGACCGCAAACAATGACAACTAATGTATTTTGGTTCGGGGACCACAAAATAAGGTTTCGAGGGCCGGAAGAGGCCCACGGGCCGCCAGTTGGTAACCACTGTTATAATGTATTCAGGGTTGCCACAGGCAACTAAAATGCGACTATTTGCAACTATTTTTTGGCTAAGGCAACTTTTTTTTTTGCATGAAAAGGGTAATAAAAAAAACAACTATTTCATGAAAAAGAGACTATTGGGAGACTTTTCTGTTCTCTTATAGATCCTGTGGCCCACAGGAGCTTCTTGAACACAAGGATTTTTTTTTTCTTCATAAAAAACACGAAATGTTGAATTGCAACTCTGAGTGATCACTTTTTAATGCGCTCAATTTTCGGATTCCATTGTGAAAAATTTAGTGCTAGAGCACTACCGTTTATATAAAAATTATCATTTATGCCACCAACTTGACGTAATTGATCATGGACGAAATGACGGAATTGATCAAGTCTTTGTTCTTATTCATGCTTTAGGCTACTAAAAGCAACTATTTTGTTAATTTTTTTCCTGTGGCAATTGATAATGGACCCAACATTGTTCAAAAAAGTATGAAATGCCATTTTAATGCCTATTGATAATGCTTTATTAATTATACATCATAATTACTGTATGATGTACAAGAAATAATTATTTTATGATAGTATAAAGATCCAGAAATATAATTGCTGACTCAAACCTTATTCAAAATCATATGAATTACTATTTTAAATGTCTATTGATAATGCTTTATTTCTTATACTTCACAATTATTTTATTGGGTGTAATGATAATTTGGCTTTTATTTTTCTTAACGAAAATTTAATGAACTTTTGGGTTCAGGAATCCTGTTTTTCTTTTCACAAATTGAAAATTTTGATTTTTCATTGTATTGTAATTTAATGAAAGTGATAAACATATAAGAACTATAAAGCTTGAGTAATTTAGGCTAGTCTGAAATGCAAATAAATAATTTTAATTTAAAAAGCATTTGGAGTTTTGATTACATATCATTTTCAAAGTAATGTGTATATTTGCACACTTATAATTTTTCTCTTCAAGTTTCAATTGCAGCATTTTTTTCTTCTTACGAACAATTAGTTTCAGAATTTTATAATAATTATCTTTGAACTATATTTATTTGATAATATTTTGCTGGAAAAAAAATATGTATCTTCAAAACAAAGCAAAATGTGGATACTTTTGAATCGTAAGTTTGAGGCGTAACTTTTTAATGTTCTCAATTTGCAGATATTCCATTGTAAGTCTATTTTGTTTCTCGGTCGCCTTTTCAGCGCTTATTACTACGAAATTCTGCATGATTTAAAAATAATAATAAAGAATCGATTTTAAATACGATATCATGACGCATGAATTTTGAATTTGAGTAATCACTTTTCACACTATATATCTATGCATAAATACATATTTGCTAAATCAATTATGAATAAAATGAAAATTTTTTAGAAAAACTTTTTTTTTCTTAATGAAAAATTATTTTTCTGAAATAATTCTAGTAATTAAAAGTAAGAAAATTAATTTTCTGCAAATATAAAATTTTTTTTAATAAAAACATTTAGTGCTAGAACACTAACATCTATATAGAAATTATTATTTCATTAAATGGATCATGGTATATGACAATTAAGTAATTTGATAAAATTTCAGTCATATTATTGAAAAGTTTTGTTCTTATTTACAGGATATACGCGCCCCTGAAAAGTCATGAATTTTGGTGTTGAACAAAATTTGTCATGAAATGTCCTGATTTTAACTATTTTTTTAAAAAGAAAATCATTTAGGTTGTCGAAAAATCTAATTTTTAAAGTAGAATTTACCCCCTCCCTCAATTTCATAGTGTTCCGAATATCTGAATGTGTAAGAAAATCCCCACTCACAGTCATATTTGATTGAAATATAAAATGTTTCCATCGTGTTCTTTAAAAATTATGGTGTTATTTCGAAAAATGAAAGAAAAACCATTTCTGGAGCGAATTATCTTTTAAACTTCTGTGATTTTAGAATTTTTGTTATTATTTATTATTTTTATTTTATCAGTTTAAAATTTTAGCTGAAGGCAAGCAAGTCATTGGTGAATTTTTCTATTCTGAAATGAGAACAGAAAAATCAGGAGTATTTCTTTCCTTTCCGATGAACAAGAAAAGTATCTTTAGAATGTTATTCTGCAGAAAAAAAGAAGAAGAAAATTATTCGCTTTTGTATTTTTTCAGCTATTTTATTGCTTCAACTCTTTCTTTACAAATTGGAAATCTATAAATATGAAGATGCAGAGTATAACAGTTTTTGGTTTATACCTATCATTTCAATGAATGTTTTTATAATGCTTTTTTAAACGTATTGTTGTGTTTTTGTCGGAGAAAATAGCAACTTCGTTAAGACATGAAAAATTCTTGGAATTAGTCTTGGAAAGTCATGAATTTGAAAATCTAAAATGTAGCAGATATCCTATAGATAGCACCAAGTCTCATATTTCAATGTTTGCATTATAAAAACCTTCTAATGTACTTGGATCTGCTGTGTTAATGCATTAATAATTTTTTTTTGTTTTTATAGGGNAGTCATATTTGATTAAAATATAAATGGTTTCCATCATGTTCTTTAAAAATTATGGTGTTATTTCAAAAAGTGAGAGAAAAACCATTTCTGGAGCGAATTATCTTTTAAACTTCTGTGATTTTAGAATTTTTGTTATTATTTTTATTTTATCAGTTTAAAATTTTAGCTGAAGGCAAGGTGAATTGGCATTGGTGAATTTTTTTGAAGGCATTGGTGAATTTTTTTATTCTGAAATGAGAACAGAAAAATCAGAAGTATTTCTTTCCTTTCTGATGAACAAGAAAAGTATCTTTAGAATGTTATTCTGCAGAAAAAAATTCTTTGCTTTTGTATTTTTTCAGCTATTTTATTGCTTCAACTCTTTCTTTACAAATTGGAAATCTATAAATATGAAGATGCAGAGTATAACAGTTTTTGGTTTATACCTATCATTTCAATGAATGTTTTTATAATGCTTTTTTAAACGTATTGTTGTGTTTTTGTCGGAGAAAATAGCAACTTCGTTAAGACATGAAAAATTCTTGGAATTAGTCTTGGAAAGTCATGAATTTGAAAATCTAAAATGTAGCAGATATCCTATAGATAGCACCAAGTCTCATATTTCAATGTTTGCATTATAAAAACCTTCTAATGTATTTGGATCTGCTGTGTTAATGCATTATAAAAAATTTTTTGTTGTTGTTTTTATAGGGTCAGGAATATCAATCTCCAAAAGTTATCTATTTATCTGATGAAGAGTCTTTCGGCTCTTCTATTATAACTAATTTCATCAACAGTCAAGAGAACGACCCGTCTTTTAAACCCAAATGCAAAATCAGAAGAGATGACAACAAAAATAATAAGCATTCGAAGAAAGTGCAAAAGACAACTGCTAAAGTGAAATCGAAAAATCAAAAACCAACAAAGCAGACTACGCTGAGAAATTTCGTCACCACTACAACTAAAAGGAACAAACCTGTCAGTTTAAAGTACGTTTTAATGCTTGTTTCCATGCATCAAAATTTTCAATTGATTATTAATTCAAAATTTTGAATTGATTATTAAATTTTTAATTTAGTTCTTATTAAATTTTATATATATTTAATTTAAATCAACTGCAGGGTGGTGCACTCTCTTTGGAATCAGAGAAAAGATTTAATTCTAAACCTGGAATTCAGGGAATATAAAAATACCTCTGGAATTCTAAGGGGAGTTTGCAATTGCAGGATTGGGTTTGCAGTTGCAGGATTGGGTTTTTCTAATATTCTCAGGCATATCATCGAAAGTTTCTGAATATAATTTTAGCATTTTAACTTTGTGCAATATATTTTTTCATTGGAAAAGATTGTTCTGTCAATAATTTTGCTTCCATACCAGTTCAGTAATTTCTTACAGCTTTATGACCTTTGTAAAATGTGTATCAAGCATGCTAGGGGACTAACCACTGGGGGTACTGCGTGTGGTTGACCACTGAACCGGAACATCTGCCTCTGCACCCCAGAGCCTAAGGTGAAGAAAACTAAGATGGGTACAATAGGCCTTGGCCCTCTATGGGCTGTTGCGCCACTGATTTTAGTTTGTAACGTTTTTAATTTTTGTGTAGTAATCAAACCTTAAATTTTCTTTGCGATAAGGGAGAAAACTTAGGTCTTTATTTAATATAACTTTGCACAGTTTTAATACTCATGTTCTCTTCTGTTGTCATTTTATTGACAGATTGTTGGGGATTGCTATGTATCTTCATAAAAAAGTTTCACGAATTCTTTTTATCTGCTGTTTTGTACGAAATGAGCAATGAAGACCAGACCTTGGCTCGGTCTTCACGGCTGTTAAGTATCTGATAAACGATTTATAGTTCAGTTAAACCCAAGAAATTTTAGTTGCTTAAAGATTCTTCCTGCAGGAAATCTGTGATCGAAAATTTGTTTAACCATATATCTTTTTGATTCCATCTTCATACCTGCCAAGTCTCCTGTTTTTTAACAAAGACTCCTGTATTTTAGAACTGTATATTCTCAAATTACTCTGTATTTGTTGGGGAAAAAAAATTTTTAATGATAAAATATCTGCTGATGGCAAAAATACTTTTTATTTCCAAATCGATAGTGCTGTAGCCAGTACTGCTGTATATTGAGTATTAATTATGGTATAAAAAATCTTATTTAGATTTAGATATATACATATTTTTTACTTCGCTAAATGTAAGTGCTTATATTATTTCCAATTTTTAATTTCTTTTTTTGACTTACATGATTATGTATGATGTATCAAAAGCTTACTCATAGCCTAAAAATTGTCACTAGTAAAATCTTCGTTATTTTATTTCTCCAATGTTGGCAGGTATGCATTTTTAAATTGATTCTAAATATTGGGCTTTAAAGAAAAACGGTTTGCACTTATTGAAAGTGCCTTTCGCAATAATAAAGAGAGAGAGCAATTATTTTACCAAATAATTAAAATTAGCTCCTATTTCTTGGAATCTTACAGTATTTAGTAGCCATCCTGTATTGATAGTTAAACTTTAGCATTTGTTATTTAATTTGCTTTATACATTTATCTTAATGGCAAGCTAATCTTTATTACTAATAATGGGCTAATGAGTCCTTAATTAAAGTGAGATTATTTTTTATAATTTTTCTTTTCAGTGTTTTTAATTCAGTTCTAGAAAAATTATGAGACATGCCATTTTGAAAATTTCATTTTACATTTTAAAAATTTCTTTCTTCAACATTAACAACAAAATTTCTTTCTTCATTTCATCAACATTTTAAAAATTTCTTTCTTGTCCATTTTTGCATCATGCAGGTGCAAATAAAAATTATGTATAAAATTAATAAAATGTATGAAATAAACAAAATTTAAACGTATATTTCTTTAGAAATATCTGTTTTGGCTAAGTGAGACAAATTGTTATTATTCTCTAAAAATAATTTTTTCTCCGTTATATAATACATTTCTATTGTCTTCAATGCCATTTTTTCTCTCTTTATATTGTGGCTTTATATTTTTATATAAAATTAAAATATACAACATAATGTATAAATTAAAAATATTAATTGTTTGTGGTTCACTGTATAATTTTTTATACAGTAGAGCCAGTAGATATTGTGATGTTAAACTGGAATTGTTTTTAAATATATCTGGAAAACTCGAGGAATTTTGTTCCTCTATTCGAGTAGGTCATTTGAAAAGATACGATTTTGTTTATACTTTGACCAACAAAGCTTGCATGTTGGCATTTGAGTTTTTTTTTTAAGAAAAAAAAAACTGTTTTTCTGAGAGCACAAAACTTTCCTCATATTTAGAGATATAAATTAAATGATTAATTTATCCTGTTATGCAGGTTGTGGTACATTTTCTTCTCATTGCCATTGATTCCACTTGACTTTAGAAACTACATGCTGTTAGAATACGCACTTTTCAAGGAATTCCGGGTCTCTTATAGTTTATTGATCGGGAAATGCTCGTTTTTAAAAAGATATATCTCGATAAATAAAATATTTGGAAATCAGGTTTTTGGCAAAATGGCTAACAGAGCTATAAGCTAAACTGTATTTATATTGGAGCTCATTGCCTCTCACTCTCAATTTCAAACAACCATTAGAGCTATAAACTTAGAATTGCTTGTAGTGCAGTTCTTTGCCATTCTTCATTCACTCTCAAAATCAAAAGGGGCTCTCCTGGCCGAGTGGTATTATCTGTCAAACACGTTGGTTGGTTCTAATGCCACTTGCCACACGGGCAAGCCTGCTTAGTGAAAGCCGAGCAAATTTTGGGCAGAGTGTGCGATTCTAGTTTTTTAGTGGCGTCATCTATGACCAAGAATTTGACTTCTGCTACATCATACGTCACACCTGTTTATAAGATGGACCCATTCATTCATCCACAGATCGTAATTTTGACCTGAATCAGAGAATGATCGATCTCCAATCCAATACCCTCAGAGGTGTTGATTTGTTATGGGAACATGGAGGACTTTGCGACTCGACAGAATTTTAACATGCATCAGTCACCAACTACACGTCGGAGTTCGAACTCACGAACTCTCGGACATGGGCCCAGCGCCCTACCGACAAGGCTATCCCGGCCCTGCCAAACACGTAGAGGTAGCAAGTTCAAATCCTGCCCTAACCCTGGACGTATCTTCACTTTGCCTTTTTCAGAATTGTACTGAATTCGAATACATTTAATTTCACTTGACTTAAGTTTAATTTTCTTTGTGTTCTTGTTTATTCTATTTATTTATTTTGTTGTGGTGGAGTATTATAACTTTCTCTTCAGAATTTTCGCTCAGCAATTTTTGATACATTTTACTTGTAAAAGCACCGTGATAGTTATTTGTTTCATAATGTCCGTATGTTTTTAGAAGCATTCATTTTGTATATAAGTTTACATTTTTCTGAATGAATTTTATTTTATTTATCATTATTGCAGTGATAGCCGTGCTGATTTTCAAAAGCATGTTGGAAAGAAAAAGAAGCTATTTAATCAGGATGCTCCTTCTACATCAACCGCTGCTGATGCATCTTCATCTCTTTTAATTCGCAAAAGAAAATGTAAGAAAGTTTGTATACCTTGTTTTTTTATGTTTTTCTTGTCACTTATGAACTGTTGGTATAAAACAAACGAAATTTTTCTACTCATCATATGCCAGTTATAATTGGTTTTAGGGAAAGTATCTCGAAGTGTCTTAAAACATTGAACAAAACTCTATGTGTGTAACTATTGTACACATAATAATTAGACATATTAATAAATACTTGATACAGTAGAGCTCCAATTATCCGAACCCTTATTATCCGAACTATGTCCAAATTCGCTTTTCTTTTTTTTTAAGTTTAGAATTTTTTTTTAACTTATCAACAATTTTTCTAAATTTAGAAGAATAGATAATATCCACTACATCTGAAAACCATATTTAATTTACTACCTTTTTCAGCAGTTTTCCTATAGTAGCAACACATACATGTATTGTTATACAGTTAAACCTACATCAGCCCTCTTCAACTGAAAATTATCATCAAAGAATGTGAGCTTCATTTTGACAATCTACTATGTTTGGAAACCGGAATGTGTTTATGAATGCTGAAATTCTACAATTGGGGGATGCAGGGATGAGATTCTTCCGCGGATTCGCGGATTTCCGCTTTTTTTCAGATTTTTCCATTTTTCCCGCTAATTTCCGCTGAAATTTTTTTTTGCACAAGTTCAAATGTATTATGAGGAATTTAATTTTCCGCGGAGGGAAATTATTGAAGTTCCTTTTCCTCCCTCTGAAGTTTCTCTAAAAATCATTTCCTTGGGATAAAACTGGTTGACCTTTATACAGGGATGAGATTTTTTTTGTCTCTCGAATTTCAGCCTTTTTATCAAAAACTCCGATTCTCTAAAAGTTTCGTTTTTTTAAATAAATATCCCGTTTTTTTTAAATTCAGTCATTGAAGTAAAATAATTATATTTATTTACGATTTTCAAAGATAAACAGAAAATTCAATCTACGCCCTAGCTGCTAACCCTTCCGCATTTTTACTTATTTTAGCTATTTTCTCCGATTTCACGCACAGAAAATAAGATTTTCCGTATTTTTTATCCGTCGGCTGGATAGCTCGTATTTTCGTAATTCAGATCTCGATTTTTATTCACGCGATTTTAATATCAATCATCGATTTTCGTATTTACCTGATTTAAAAGTTGCACATTGCGATTCTTATTTACGCTATTTAAATATCGTATATTATGATTCTTATTTACGACATTTAAAAATCCAATATCGTGTTTTGTATTTATGCATTTTTAAAATCTCGATTTTATTATCAAATCTCGATTTTCGTATTTACCTGATTTAAAAGTTGAACGTTGCGATTCTTATTCAGGCGATTTAAATATTGTACAGTGCGATTCTTACTTACGAGATTTAAAAAATCAATATCGCGATTTGTATTTACGAGCTTTTAAAGCCCTATGTAGCAATTCGTATTCACGTGAGCTTAAAATCCAATATCATGATTCGTTTTTGTGGTTGTAATATCGCGCGATTTAAAAATTATGCATCGTGATCAAAAAATTAAAAAATCATGATTTGTATTTTCGCATTTTTTAAATTCGATGTAGAGTTTCATATTTACGTGATTTAAAAGTCTCATATCGGGATTTATATTCACATGGTTTACAAGCTTAAAAATCGCACTTTTTTGTCAAATTTTTGTTTACATATATATATATATTTGGGGGATTTCCTCTTTTTTACTTTCTGACTGCTCTCATCCCTGGGGATGGGTAGTTGTCACTTATGGTTAATGATTACAGTGCTTGGAGTCTTAAATCTTGGAATAAAATTCTTATCAGAAAAACAAACGCAACTGAAGTTTGTGCATCGGTAGATCTTTTGGGTGAAAAGATGCCAGGTTATACAGCAGAAGAAATAGAAGACTGGTGTCGAGACACTATAAACGAGTCAGGATTTCAAATTTTGAATGATGATGAAATTGTTTCTGAAATTTTGAATAAAAATCGGAACTCCTCAGATTAAGAGGAAGAAGTACGTGATCAAGTTCAAGATAGTGGACCTTCTCATATACAAGCATACAATTCATTAGATATTGCAATGAATTGCCTAGAACGTCAAAATGATGTTGATCCAATTCAGTTGATATATTTAAAAAGAATAAGGGAATATGGCTGCTCTATAAAGAGCATCTTCTTTGAAACAAAAGTCTTTGCTGGATTTCTTTTGCAATGGAAAATAAAGGAAAATGTGGAAAAATCAGTAATTGACAAAAAAATTATAAAAAGCTGAAATATGATTAAAAAAAATTCAAAATGAAAAAAAAAGTTTAAAAAAAATAAATCAATGAAAAATATTCAAAATTTAAAAAGAAAAAAAAAAAGACTTTTAAACACGCCAGAGCTATTTTAGATAGTACTGCCAGTCCTAAGCCTGGAAAAAGTGAGAAGGGGTGTTAGTGCATAAATAATAATCATTTGAACTAGATTTTAAACAACTTTCCAACTATCGGAACTTATAATTATCAGAACCACATTCAATCCCGAGCAGTTCGGATAATCGGCGCTCTACTGCACTTTTTATACAATTAGCTTTAACTTATTAAAGGAAAATAATATAATAGCGAAATATTTATAACTTTTGAAGCACCACAGTTCATTGAACAACAAAAGTGAATACCTTATCCTTTAAATATGAATAAATGTGATTTTAATACTGATAAATTATGTTTTTGCATAAGGATAAATAATGCAATATTAAAAAAAAAAATGAACTTTTTTAATAAAACCCAAGCTTGTTTTCATTTTGTTTCTTGTTCAAAAATAAACATTTTATTTTTCACGCAATTTTTTTTTAAAATTGTGACATAATTTTAGTGATTATGTTTTGCACAGGACGGTTTAAACTGTGAATTAATCTATTTTGTTCTAAACCTTGCATAAGGATAAATAATGCAATATTAAAAATAATAATGAACTTTTTTTATAAATAAAATCCAAACTTGTTTTCATTTTGTTTCTTGTTCAAAAATTAAAAATTTTATTTTTCACACTATTTTTTCTTTTTTTAAATTGTGACATAATTTGAGTGATTAGGTTTTGGACAGAACGGTTTAAACCTTGAATTAATCCATTCTGTCCCAAACCTTGCCAACTGTGTTCATAATATGTGTACTTATTTCTTCTTTTTTTTTCAGCATCCAAAGAGATTAATTCTTTGGGAAACAAGCGTCATTGCAGTGAATGCAAAATAACGTTCAGGACTCCTAATGAGTTGAAAAAACATGCTTTTATTTTTCACACCCACGACGATCTCAGCAGTTGATCCTTTTCTTTCTTTTTTTTTTTTTAAAAAAAAAACTATCCATTCAAAGGGTATGTTGTAATGTTAAATTATTGTACATATATTTTATGCTTGATTATTTTCGACAATGATTTTGAATACATTTTCTGTCTTTCCTTTTTTTAAAAAAAAAGATTTTGTGGCTTAGAGAGGTATATGCATAAACTTTTAAAAATGAAATAATTTTTAACTGAGCATTCAATTTCACTGAAATTGCCAAAGTTGTGGTTGCAACTTTTGTATAGTAACATGCATTTGTTCTATTTATTTCTCAAATGATGACTTAAGAGAAAGAAGGTCCTGTGTGTGATGTTTTCGTTAAAGTTGTGTTTGCAAACAACATTATTTTTTTTTTTTTAAATTATGAAGTATATTGACATTTTTAGATTTGTCTTTATCGGAAAATTGTAATAACCTTGAACTTTAGAAGTTAAACCGATAGAGTTTAAATAAGCACTGTTTTACCATTTTTTTATTTCAAACCCTGTCAATATACAGTCAGACCTCGATATAAGGTCACCCTAAGGGACATCGCAAAAGTGACCTTATAAGCGAGTGACCTTCTAGAAGTTCATAACTGAGCACGTAAATAGTACACATTATGATTTTTTAAAAATGGTAATACAAATAAAAATTGATAATATTTAATAAATTAATAATAAATACCCCATAAATTAAATATTTAAGTCAATAAATTTTAGCAGAATTAGTAAAGAATGTTAGATTTTTTTTAAAAAATTTAATTTAAGATAAAGCTGTTTACAGATTTCCTCAAAGTGTACATACATACATTACATCTTACCTTATTTAAAATAATCATTTATGCAGGTCTGTCTCGTTTTTGGTTTCATTTTTCGAACAATGTTTTCTAGATTTTGTAACTTCTCAAAATGTTCCCCATCTCCCTCATGGTTTGTAAAAAAAATTCGAATGACATTTATTGCATTGAAGGCTTTCCTTTGGGTTACAGTTACAATCCCAGGATCACTGTCATTGTCCACAACTTGTGAAACAATTTCAGAAATTGTAGCATCAGAAGTGGTGGCAATTTCCTCATCAATCAGACCATATTCAGGCTCCCCTTCAATGGCATAGTCACGATTTTTCAAATCTTCCATCAGAACAGATAGAGGAATATCGTCTTCTTCTTCGGTTTCATCATCCACGATATTCAGAGAACTCACAAAACCAGCATGGCGAAAACAATTTGCAATGCATGTGGTGGACACCATGTTATGCCTCAGATAAAAATGACCTGATAAGCGATAACGATTTTTAAAACTTGACCCTATATCCGATAATAAAACTANACCATGTTATGCCTCAGATAAAAATGACCTTATAAGCGATAACGATTTTTAAAACTTGACCATATATCCGATAAACTGTAACAAAGAATTCCTATTCAGTGAGCCGGGACTTTGGAAAAGTGACCTTAAATGTGGATGGCCTTATGTCGAGGTCTGACTGTAGTAACGAATATTGTTTTCATCTGTTAATAGTCTAAATGTTTTAGCAAATAAAGCAATTAATAACGCTTTATTATGAATTCTGTTCTAGTTAGCATTCTTGCTGTTTGTTGCAAACATGGTTTACGGTAATTAATTCTGTAAAAATGCGGCTATTAAATTTTATTTATGCGTTTGCAATTAAAAAAATCTCCAATTGTTAACTGCTATTTCTTTAAATTTACCATTATTGAACGGTAAAGAGCATGTGTGGAGTTACGTTTTAATAATGTAAAATTTTTCAGGTTTAAACATTTTAAGGTCAGTTATAAGCATTGAATACTTATACCTCATCTTTAATAAAAATACAGTTATTTCATTATTAAATTTATATGTTAACTTATAGAAAATCTCCAATCGTTTGATGCTACTAGTTTTAAATGTATTGGAATACAGTCGAATCACGTTTTAGCGAATTCCTAGGGACCGAAGTAATAACGAAAATTCGTTATCAGGGGTCTGTCCGAGCCAAATTTACTACCGTTTAGTGGTACCTTCACAAATTCAACTTTAGGAAAAACAGTAGTTTCACAAAATACTTTTTCTTAAAATTTTATTTTTGTGTCTCATAAGAAATGATAAATCCATAATTTTGCAGTATTTTTGTGTTGATTTTTTAATGTCATTTTAAATTTTCACAAATTGTGTCTAAATTTTCACAAAATGGGTACCTCTCAGAAAAACCTAGACAAACCCTTGGTTATACCGATAATATGAATTTCAACATTAACTGAAATTATTTTGTTACGTTGGAATTTTACACATTGAAAAAAATTATGTATATTGCATTTAATTACAGTTTTGATCTATTTGTACACTGCAAGTAGAAAATATCAAATCAATGTTTTAAAAGCTCAAAGAAGCAATTAAATTAAAAGGAATAATGCATTTTTTTATCACTTATTATTTATCAGAAATTACGTAATCCATAATTTGTTATTTGTACAAATGCTTTTGAACCGGCAGAAATTACAAACTTCTCCAAATGATGCAAATTTTCAAATAACTGAGCCAGAAATTGGGCTTTTGGAGAGCCACATTTATTTTTACTTCTTCTAATATAAATGGGTTTCTCTTGACCTTTCATATCTGAAACTTTTTATTTTGAAGATGCAAAAATATCATGAGTTCTGAGATCATTGTGTGCATTAGAAGAATGCAGAAGTGTTTGATCATGAGAGAAAAATGGGAGAAATAAAATAACGGAGATTTTATAACAGGGCTGATTGTGGCTGAAATCAATCGTGGGAAATTAAATATTGACACAAACCATGTCTGGTATTAATCACAAGTTTCATGCAATTTACTTCATTTAATTTCATGAAAAGTTTCACTGTCTGATGTCAGTTTTATAAAGTTAACAAGTATNCTAGACAAACCCTTGGTTATACTGATAATATGAATTTCAACATTAACCGAAATTATTTTGTTACGTTGGAATTTTACACATTAAAAAAAATTATGTATATTGCATTTAATTACAGTTTTGATCTATTTGTACACTGCATGTAGAAAATATCAAATCAATGTTTTAAAAGCTCAAATAAACAATTAAATTAAAAGGAATAATGCATTTTTTTATCACTTATTATTTATCAGAAATTTCGTAATCCATAATTTGTTATTTGTACAAATGCTTTTGAACCGGCAGAAATCACAAACTTCTACAAATGATGCAAATTTTCAAATAACTGTGCCAGAAATTGGGCTTTTGGAAAGCCACATTTATTTTTACTTCTTCTGATATAAATGGGTTTCTCTTGACCTTTCATATCTGAAACTTTTTATTTTGAAGATGCAAAAATATCATGAGTTCTGAGATCATTGTGTGCATTAGAAGAATGCAGAAGTGTTTGATCATGAGAGAAAAATGGGAGAAATAAAGTAACGGAGATTTAAAACAGGGCTGATTGTGCTCCTGAAAACATCCGGACTTTTAGCTAACAGTGATCCGGAAGTTATCGAAGATGGAAGGTCCAGACGTTTAAAAAAAATCATTGATCACAGAAGTTTCTGGAAATCATATTTTCAAGGGTGGAATTTAAAAATACAGTTTATTTTATTTGTTTGTAAGGAAGAGCCAGAGAGATACTTTATAAGCTTATATTCATGATTAATATTCATTTTTTATCAGTAAATAGTTGTTATAATCATAAATTCAAGAAAGAAAGACGTATTTGTAAATTTTAATCACTTCTCCAGGTCATCATAGGTATGTGTAAAATTTTAAATATATTTTAAGTAAACTAAGAAATATTGAGAAAAATGAAAAAAACCTTGTTTAACTTTTTTTCTAATTTTTCAATTTAAACTTCTTTTTTTTTAACTCAAGAAATTTTCCGGAATTTTGACTTGAGCTCACAATCACCCCTGTTATAAGCAAAATTTTTTTAGGCTATGTGTAAAGTTTTGATACATCATGCAAGTCAAAAGGAGAAATTCAAAATTGGAAATAATGTAAGCACTTACATTTAGCGAAGTAAAAAATATGTATATAAATCTTAATCTAAAGAAGATTTTTTTTTTAAACCGTTATTTATAATTACTTAAACTATTAACATATTGCAGTACTGGCAATGTCACTATCTATTGTGGAATAAGAGTTTTGCTATCAGCTGATATTTTGTTTAAAAAATTTTTCAACAAATATGGAGAAATTTGAAAATAAACAGGAGACAATCATAAAAGACTGGAGTCTTTGTCAAGAAACAGGAGACTTATTTTCACCTTCCTTAAAATTGAATTATGAATTTCGTAATAGCGGTATTTTTCCTTCATTGTTTCTGTGGAGTTTCATTTGGGGATTCGGAAAATATTAGTTTCATTGAAATTTTCGGATTTCGCTGCAACGGAATTCGACTGTATTTGGTACTATTATGATTGAAGAGTAGAAGAAAGAACCTGCTAAGTTCCATCTTACAAACAAAATTATTTTATGGTTTAAAAACATGTTAAGATCACTTGTAAGAGGAAACCGGCCTTAAAATGCTTACAATCATGGTGAGAAAATATGTTTAAATGCATTTTAAGGCTAATTTCCTCTCGCCAAACGTGTTCTTCGAACAATCTCTTTCGTGTAGCGTACCTGTAATTGCAGTGTTCCCACAGTACTTGAAAGTCCTTGAATTCTGTGATAGGGTACTTGAAAAGTATTTGATTTTTCAACAAAATTAAAATTACTCATACTTACATTGATAGAAACCATTGCTCTTCCTTCCATTTGCCCATTTTCTGAAAGATTGTTAAGGTCAGAAAAGTGAGGCTTCATATTTATTTACCTCTCCTGTGATTATGATTGGATGACAAAATACAAGTAGGGCGTGGCAGAAATCAATCGTGGGAAATTAAATATTGAAACAAACCATGTCTGGTATTAATCACAAGTTTCATGCAATTTACTTCATTTAATTTCATGAAAAGTTTCACTGTCTGATGTCAGTTTTATAAAGTTAACAAGTATCCAATGTCAATTGGAAATTTTTTTTTATAGTTTTCAAAGTGATTTGAAAAAGCAGTATTCTAATCTATATATAACTATCAGACATTTGTATTGATAGCTAGCTGTAAGCTATGCGTATTAAACAATCTACAGCTATTAAGCAATGTAAACTTGATAAATAATAATGAATATTTTTTTTTTATCAACTAAGCATTGTGCTTTTAAAAATATGCTATTTCTGCTTCTACCTAATTAAAAAATCTGGTATTTTAACGTACTAATTATAGTACTAAGTAGGACAATTTGATTTTAGGTTCTTGAGAAGTCCTTGAGTTTTTAAAAAAAATTTGATTGGGAACCCTGCTGTAATTGCAATCTCACATCCATCTTTATTATTTCATACTG